ATTTGGTTTTTCTTTACATATTGAATTCATCTTATATTTTAATTGATTATATGGTTTATATGAGTTTTGGAACTGTTGAAGATTTCTTAGGTATATGCATTATCTTCCAGAAGTTATGTTATCTTCCCTCACAGTATCTCTAGATTTTTGCCTGCGTAAGCAATTACTAAATAAAAATTTTCCATTCGGTGAAATGAATTTCAACATATTCTTATTTTTGAATGTTAAAAAGTTTTTTTAAAAGAAGAGTTCTTATAAATTCAATTAAATTGATGTTTTCTAAGGAAGTAAAATGCTATGGTATGTCTTTCTGGTATTTATAGGATATATCTTATAACTGTATAGGATATCAATAAAAAGTGATCAGTTGCTATTTTTCTAAGTTACCCTTATAAAATAGGCCATGAGAGGTAGATCCCAATGTCCATATTTAAAGAAATTGCTCCTTCTGCTAGTGGTGTTGAATGTGCCTGAACAGACTCTTGGTCATACAAGTGCAAAATTTTTTAGTGGATTCTGAATAGCAGTTCTATTTCTTTAATGACTGAAGAAATGGTAGCATAGGACTTTGGTTTGGCATCTGTTTTGCCCTCAAATCAGAAAGTACTTGTATAATTTATCCTCAGTATATGAAGTTAAATGATACTTGATTTTAGGTAGTAATTTATCAGTATAGTTTTCTGTAGGGATATTTTGGGCAGAAATAGAAAGGGTCTTGAATAATCTGAAGTTATTGAAATTTTTTTTTTTTTTTAGAAAATTACGAAAAACTGTAAATGGTGATGGGAGCCGAGAAAATGGAAATAACTCCTCTGATAAAGTCAGAGGAGTAGAAACTTTGGAATCTGTACCTGTTACTGGTGGTTTTTGGGAGACTATCTTTGGCAACAGGTGGGAGTCTTTTTTACTTATGTTGTGTTCACATAGAGTTTACAAAGTATATAGTATCATCAGACCATAGGAGTAGGTAGCATAGCGTAGACTTGTTGTGGTGTGATTTGTAAGGGTTATCAGAGGGTTTGCTTGCTGAAAATGCAGTCTTCACTGTTCCATTACCTGTGAATGCAGTAATCTATCATTAAAGTATTGTTCTGTTTTTTTTGTTTGTTTTTTGAGGCGGTGTCTCATTTTGGAGTGCAGTGGCATGATCTTGGCTCACTGCAACCTCTGCCTTTTAGGTTCAAACGATTCTCCTGCCTCAGCCTCCTGAGTAGCTGGGATTACAGGTGCTTGCCACCATACCTGGCTAATTTTTGTATTTTTAGTAGAGACGGTGTTTCACCATGTTGCCCAGGCTGATCTCAAATCCCTGACCTCAAGCCTCAGGTGTGAGCTACCACACCTGGCCTGATTTCCTTTCTTTTGGTTAATACATACCCAGCAGTGGGAATGCTGGATCATATGGTAGTTCTATTTTTGTTTATTTGAGGAACCTCCAAGCTGGTCTTCATAGTGGTTGTACTACTTTACATTCTCACCAGCAGTACAAGGGTTCCCTTTTCTCCATATCCTTTCCAGTGTTATCGCCTGTCTTTTGGATAAAAGCCATTTTAACGGGGGTGAGATAATATCTAATTCTGGTTTAATTTTCATTTCTGTGATCAATGATGTGAACACCTTTTCATACACCTGTTTGCCATTTGTGTATCTTCTTCTGAGAAATGTCTATTCAGATCTTTTGCCCATTTAAAAATCAGATTAGTAGATTATTTTGCATAGAGATGTTTGAGCTCCTTATATATTCTGGTTATTAATCCCTTCTCAGATTGATAATTTGCGGAGACTTTCTCTCATTCTGTGAGTTGTCTTTTCACTTGGTTGATTGTTTCCTTTGCTACATAGAAGCTTTTTAACTTGATGTGATATCATTTGTCCATTTTGCTTTGGTTGCCTGTGCTCATGGAGTGTTGTTTAAGAAATCTTTGCCCAGACCAATGTATGGAGGGTTTCCCTAATGTTTTCTTTTTGTAGTTTCATAGTTGTGGGGTCCTAGATTTAGCTCTTTAATTCACTTTTATTTGATATTGTATATGGTGAGAGATAAGGGTCTAGTTTCATTCTTCCACATGTGGATGTTCAGTTTTTCCAGTGCTGTTTATTGAAGAAACTGTCCTTTCTCCAATGTATGTTCTTGGCATCTTTGTCAAAACTGAGTTCACTGTCGGTTGGGTGCAGTGGCTCATACCTATAATCCCAGCACTTTGGGAGGCTGAGGCGGATGGATCATTTGAGTTCAGGTGTTCCAGACCAGCCTGGCCAACATGGTGAAACCTTGTCTATACTAAAAATACAAGAATTAGCTGGGTGTAGTGGTGGATACCTGTAATCCCAGCTACTTGGAAGGTGGAAGCAGGAGAATCGCTTGAACCTGGGAGGCAGAGGTTGTAGTGAGCCAAGATCTCACCACTGTACTCCAGCCTGAGTGACAGAGTGTGACCCTGTCTCAAAAAAAAAAGGGGTTCACTGTAGATGTGTGGATTTATTTCTGCGTTCTCAATTCTGTTCCATTAGCCTATGTGTTTTTGTGTCAGTACTGTGCTCCTTTGGTTACTATAATGCTGTAGTATAATTTGAAGTCAAGTAATGTGATTCCTTCAGTTTGTTATTTTTACTCAGAATAGCTTTGGCTATTTTGGGTCTTTTTTTATTCCATATCAATTTTAAGATTGTTTTTTCTATTTCTGTGAAGAATGTCATTGGTATTTTTATAGGGATTGCATTACATCTGAAGATTGCTTTGGTTAGTATGGATATTTTTAACAATATTGATTCTTCCATTTCATAAATTATCTTTCCATATTTTTTGCATTCTCTTCAGTTTCTTACATCAATGTTTTGTAGTTTTTATTATAGAGATCTTTCACTTCTTTGGTTAAATGCTAGGTGTTTAATGTTATTTGCAGCTATTGGAAATGATGTCATTTTCTTGATTTCTTTTTTAGATTGTTTGTTGTTGGCATATAGAAATGCTACTGATTTATTATGTTGATTTGTATCCTGCAACATTAATGAATTTGTTTATCAGTTCTAATACTTTTTTCACAGAATCTTTAGGTTTTTCCAAATATAAAATTTTATCTGTAAACAAAGGTAATTTGAATTCTTCTTTTCCAACTTGTATGCCTTTTATTTCTGTCTCTTGTCTAATTGCTCTAGCTAGGACTTCTGGTACTATATTGAATAACAGTGATGAAAGTGGGCATCGTTGTCATTTTCCAGATCTTAGAGGAAAAGCTTTTAGTTTTTTTCATTCAGTATGATACCAGCTGTGGGTCTGTCATATATGACTTTTATTCTATTCAGGTATGTTCCTTCTATACCCTGATTTTTGAGAATTATTATCATGAGGAGATACTGAATTTTATCAAGTACTTTTTCAGCATCAATTGAAATGATTATATGGTTTTTGTCCTTCACTCTGTTGGTATGATGGGTCACATGATTGATTTGTATGTATGTTGAACTATCCTTGCATCTCTGGTATAACCCTACTTGGTCATGATGAAGGATCTTTTTATTTATTTATTTTATATGTATTATTATTATTTGAGACAGTGCCTCATTTTGTTGCCCAGGCTTGAGTGCAGTGGCATGATCTTGGCTCATTCCAACCTCTGCCTTCCAGTTCAAATGATTCTTGTATGTGAAGCCCCCAGGTACCTGGGACCACAGGCGTGTGCCACCACAACCCTCCCTAATTTTTTTGTATTTTTTGTAGAGGTGCACAGAAGTCAAGAATTGAGATTTGGGAACCTCTGCTTAGATTTCAGAGGATGTATGCAAATGCTTGCATTTCCAGGCAGAAGTTTGCTGCCAGGGCAGGGCATTCATGGAGAACCTTTGCCAGGGCAGTGTGGAAGGCAAATGTGGTATTGGTAGCCCTACACAGAGTCCCCACTGGGGGGCACTGCCTAGTGGAACTGTGAGAAGAGTGGCCACTGTCCTCAAGACCCCAGAATGGTAGATCCACCAATAGCTTTCCCTGTGCACCTGGAAAAGCCACAGACACTCAACGCCAGCCCATGAAAGCAGTCAGGAGGGATGCTGTTCTCTCCTGGTGATACTTGATATCATTTTAATTTTTTGGAATGTTTTAAGACTTGTTTTGTAGTTATAATATGGTATATCCCTGAGATGATTCTTGTGCTGAGGAGAAGAATGTATTCTATAGCCAATAGATGAAATGTTCAGTAAATACCTGTCAGGTCTATTTGGTTTGTAGTGTTGATTAAGTCCAATGTTTGTTGATTTTTCTATTTGGATGATCTGTCTAATGCTGAAAATGAGGTTGAAGTCTCCAACTATTATTGTGTTGGAGTCTGTCTCTCTCTTTAGCTCTAATAATATTTGCTTTATGTTTCTGGGTGCTCCAGTGTTGGGTGCATATATATTTACAATTGTTATATCCTCTTGCTGAATTGACCCCTTTATCATTATATAATGACCTTCATTAACTCTTTTTATAGTTAAAATCTATTTTGTCTGATATAAGTATAGCTACTTGATATGGTTTGGCTGTGTCCCCACCCAAATCTCAACTTGAATTATATCTCCCAGAATTCTCATGTTGTGGGAGGGAGCCAGGGGGAGGTAATTGAATCATGAGGGCTGGTCTCTCTTGTGCTAGTCTCGTGATAGTAAATAAGTCTTACAAGATCTGATGGGTTTATCAGGAGTTTCCGCTTTTGCTTCTTCCTTATTTTCTCTTGCTGCCATCATGTAAGAAGTGCCTTTTGCCTCCTGCCGTGATTCTGAAGCCTCCCCAGCCATGTGGAGCTGTAAGTCCAATTAAACCTCTTTTTCTTCTCAGTCTCAGGTATGTCTTTATCAGCAACATGAAAACCAACTATTACAGTAAATCAGTACCAATAGAGTGGGGCTTTACTGAAAAGATACCTGAAAATATGGAAGCAACTTTGGAATTGGGTAACAGGCAGAAGTTGGAAGAGTTTGGAGGGCTCAGAAGACAGGAAAATGTGGGAAAGTTTGGAACTTCCTAGAGAGTTGTTGAATGGCTTTCACAAAAATGCTGATACTGATATGAACAATAAGGTCGAGGATGAGGTGGTAACAGATGGACATAAGGAACTTGTTGGGAATGGAAGCAGAGGTAACTCTTGTTATGTTTTAGCAAAGAGACTGGTGGCATTTTGCCCTGCCTTAGAGATTTGTGGAACTTTGAACTTAAGAGAGATGATTTAGGGTATCTGGCAGAAAAATTTCTAAGCAGCAAAGCATTCAGGACGTGACTTGGGTGCTGTTAAAGGCATTCAGTTTTATAAGGAAAGCAGAGCATGAAAGTTTGGAAAATTTGCAGCCTGACTATGCAATAGAAAAGAAAAACTCATTTTTTAGGGAGAAAGTCAAGCTGGCTGCAGAAATTTGCATAAGTAGCAAGGAGCCTAATGTTAATCCCCAAGACAATGGGGAAAATGTTTTCAGGCCATGTCAGACACTTTCAAGCAGCTCCTCCCATCACAGGCCTGGAGGCCCAGGAGGAAAAAGGGGTTTTGTGGGCTAGACCCAAGATCCTCATGCTGTGTGAAGCCTAGGGACTTGGTGCCTTGTGTCCCAGCTACTCCAGTCATGGCTGAAAGGGGCCATTGTACAGCTCAGGTCGTGACTTCCAAAGATGGAAGCCCCAAACCTTGAAAGCTTCCACATGGTGTTGAGACTGCAGGTTCACAGAAGTCAAGAACTGAGGCTTGGGAACCCCTGCCTAGATTTCAGAAGATGCATGGAAACACTTGGATGCCCAGGCAATAGTTTGCTGCAGGGGTGGGGCCCTCATGAAGAACCTCTGCTAGGGCAGTGTGGAAGGGAAATGTGGGGTTGGAACCCCACACAGAGTCCCTACTGGGGCACTGCCTACAGGAGCTGTGAGAAGAGGGTCACAATCCTCCAGACTCCAGAATGGTAGATCCACTGACAGCCTGCAATGTGTGCCTGGAAAAGCTGCAGACACTCGACACCAGCCTATGAAAGCAGTCAGGAGGGAGGCTGTACCCTGCAAAGCCACAAGGGCAGAGCTGCCCAAGATCATGTGTTCCCACCTTTTGCATCAACGTGACCTGGATGTGAGATCTGGAGTTAAAGGAGATAATTTTGGAGCTTCAAAATTTGACTGCCCCATGGGATTTCAGACTTGCAAGGGCCTTGTAACCCCTTTGTTTTGGCCAATTTCTCCCATTTTGAATGTCTGTATTTACCCAATACCTGTACCCCATTGTATCTAGGAAGTAACTAGCTTGCTTTTGATTTTACAGACTCATAGGCGGATGGGACTTGCCTTGTCTCAGAAGAGATTTTGGACTGTGAACTTTTGGGTTAATGTTGAAATGAGTTAAGACTTTGGGGGAGTATTGGGAAGGCATGATTGGTTTTGAAATGTGAGGACATGAGATTTGGAGGGGCAAGGGACAGAATGATATGGTTTGGCTGTGTCCCCACCCAAATCTTAACTTGATTGTATCTCCCAGAATTCCCAAGGGTTGTGGGAGGAGCTCAGGGGGAGGTAATTGAGTCATGAGGGCTGGTCTTTCCCATGCTATTCTTGTGATAGTAAGTCTTATGAGATCTGATGGGTTTATCAGGGGTTTCCGCTTTTGCTTCTTCCTCATTTTCTGTTGCCGCCACCATGTATGAAGTGCCTTTCACCTCCTGCCATGATTCTGAGGCCTCCCCAGCCATGTGGAACTGTAAGTCCAGCTAAATCTCTTTTTTCCCCCCCATTCTTGGGTATGTTTTCAGCAGCAGCATGAAAATGAACTAATATACTACTCCTGCTAATTTTTAGTTTCTATTAACATGGAATATCTTTTTCCATTCCCTTATTTTCAGCCTGTGTATATTTTTATAGGTAAAGTTTTTTTCTTGTAGGCAATAGATCATGGATTTTTTTTTTTAATTCATTAAGCCACTCTGTGTCTTTTGATTAGAAAGATTAGTTCATTTACATTCCATGCCATTATTGATAAGTAAGGACTTACTTCTCCCACTTTGTTAGTTGTTTTCTGGTTCATTTGTGATCTTCCTTCTTTCCTTCCTGTCTTCCTCTTAGTGAAGGTGATTTTCTCTAGTGGTATTTTAAATTAATTTCTTTTTATTTCTTGTGTGTCTGTTATTTTTTAATTTGGGGTTACATTGAGGCTTGCAAATAATATTTTATAACCTATTATTTTAAACTGAAAACACTGATTGCATAAACAAGCAAACTCATAAACCAGCAAAGAGAGAAGTGATAAAAACTGTACAGTTTCACTCTGTCCCTCTGCTTTTAAACTTTTTCTTGTTTGTATTTATATCTTATTGTACTGTCTATGTCTTGAAATGTTGTATTTTTTTAATTGGTTCATGTTTTAGTCTTTCTATTGAAGATATGAGTAGTTTACACACCACAATTACAAGGTTATAATATTCTGTCTTTTTTTTGTGTATTTACTATTACCAATGAGTTTTGTACCTTCAGATGATTGCTTATTGCTCATTAATGTCCTTTCAGTTTAAAGAACTCTCTTTTGCATTTCTGTAGGCAGGTCTATTGTTGATGAAATCCTTCAGCTTTTGATTTTTCTGGGGATATTTTTATTTGTCCTTCTTGTTTGAAGTTTATTTTTGCTGGATATACTATTCTATGATTAAAAGGTTTTTCCTTTAGCAGTTTAAATGTCTCAGTCTGGCTGGACTTAGTGGCTCATGCTTGTAATCCCAGCACTTTGGGAAGCCAAGATAGGAGCACTGCTTGAGCCCAAGAGTTCAAGACCAACCTGGGCAACATTAGGGAGATGCAGTCTCTACAAAAATAATAATAAAAAAATTAGCTGGGTGTGGTGGCATATGCCTGTGTTTCCAGTTATGCTGGAGGTTGAGACAAGAGGATCGCTTGAGCCTAGGAGGTTGAGGCAGTAGTGAGCTGTGATTATGATAGCGAACTTCAGCCTGGGCAACTGAGATCCCTTTCTCAAAAAAAAAAAAAAAGTAACAATAAATAAGTAAATAAACATGTCATACCACTCTCCTAGCCTGTGAAGTCTGCTGCCAGACATATTGGAGCATCTTTGTATGCCATTTGTTTCTTTCCTCTTGCTGCTTTTAGTATCCTTTCTTTATCCTTTATCTTTGAGGGTTTGATTGTTAAATGCCTTGAGGTATTTTTCTTTTGGTTAAATCTGTTTGGTATTGTATGACTTTCTTGTACTTGAATATTGGTATACCCTTACTCTAGGTTTGGGAAGTTTTTTGTTATTATCCTTTTGAGTAAACTTTACACTCCTATCTCTCTCTCTACCTTCTCTTTAAGGTCAATAACTCTTAGATTTGCGTTTTGAGGCTATTTTCCAGATCTTTTAGGTGAGTTTCTTTTTTTTGTTGTTGTTCTTTTTTCTTTTGTCTCCTCTGTGTATTTTTAATTCTTTCTTCTGCTTGATCAGTTCTGCTGGTAAGAGACTCTGATGCATTCTTCAGTATGTCAGTTGCATTTTCAGCTCCAGAATTTGTTCGTTTGTTTTTTTAGTTATTTTACTTTTTGTTAAATTATCTGGTAGGATTCTGAATTCCTTCTCTGTGTTATCTTGGATTTCTTTGAGTTTCCTCAAAATAGCTTTTTTGTTTTTTTGAGCCAAGGTTTCACTCTCATCTCACAGGTTGAAGTGCAATGGTGCAATATTGGTTCACTGCAACTTCCACCTCCCAGGCTCAAGTGATCCTCCAGGCACATACCAGTGCACCCTGCTAATTTTTATATTTTTTATAGAGATGAGGTTTTGCCACGTTGCCCAGGCTGGTTTTGAACTTCTTAGCTCAAGTGATCCACCTGCCTCTTGGCCTCCCAAAGTACTGAGATGATAGTCATGAGCCACTGTGCCTGGCCAAAAATAGCTGTTTTGAATTCTCTGTCTCTAAGGTTGTATGTTTCTGTCTCTCTGGAATTGGTCACTGGTATCTTATTAGTTCGTTTGGTGAGATCATCTTTTGTTCGATGGTCCTGATGCTTGTGGATGTTCATTAGCGTTTGCACATTGAATGGTTAGATGTTTATTGTAGACTTCACCGTCTGGGCTTCTTTGTACCTGTCCTTGGGAAGGCTTTCCAAGTATTTGAGGGGAATTGGGTGTTGTGCTTTAAGTCTTTCGTCACTGCAGCTGCATCTGCATTAGGGGGTACCCTAAGCCTAGTAATGTTGTGACTCCAGCAGACTTGTAGAGGTTACTGCCCTGGTGGTCTTGGGTCAGATCTGGGAGAATTCTCTGGATACCAGGCAGAGATTCTTGTTCTTTTCTCTAACTTTCTCCCAAACAAATGGAGTCTCTCTCTGTGCTGAGCTGCTTGGAGCTAGGAGGGGTGACACAGCACCTCTGTGGCCATTAATACTGGGACTGGGTTTGGGCAGGCCTGAAGCCTGCCCAGCACTGGATCTTGCCCAAGGTCCACATGGCAGCCACTTGCCTGTCTACCACCTATGTTCACACAAAGCCCAAGGGCACTACAATCAGCAGGTGGTAAACCCAGCCAGGCATACCTCCAAGTTACCCCTGGCTCTGGGTGGATCTGGAGATGCTGTCTGGCAGCCAGGGCCTGACATCGAGAACTTTAGGAATCTACGTGTTGCTCTATTGTATGGTAGCTGAGCTGGCACCAAGGCCAAAGACAAACTCCTTCCCACCCTTCTCTCTCCTTTCCTCAAGCAGAGGAATCTCTCCTGTGGCCACTGCTGCTCTAGACCTGCTGCAAGTACTGCATAGCTATTGCCGATATTCACTCAAGTCCAAGGGCCCTTTGTTCAGCTTGTGGTCAATACTGATAGGCTTGGGTATCTCCCTTCAGGGCAGTGGGCTTCCCTCTGGCCCAGAGTGGGTCCAGAAATACCATCCAGGAGGCAAGGCCTAGAATGAGGGACCTTAAGAGCACACTTGGTGCTCTACCCCACTGTGGTTGAGCTGGTACCCTGGTCCCGTTTAGTCTTCCCTGTCTTTTCCTCAAGCAGGAGTCTCTCCCTGTAGCTGCCACAGTTGGGAATATATTGGGTCACTCCTGAGGCCAGCATGGCTCTGAGTCTCACCCAAGGCCCACAGTGAGTACTGCCTGGATACCACTGTTGATTATACAGAGTCCAGGGCCTCTTTGGTCAGCAGGTGATGAATGCTGCCAGGGCTAGGTCCTTTCCTTCATCTGTGTTGGGTCCAAGCTGTGTCTGCAAATGTCATCCAGAAGCTAGGGCCTAGAATGGGGGCCTCAGGATTCTGGTCCCTTGTTCTACTCTGGCTGAGCTGGTATCCAAGTTGCAAGACAAGGTCCTTTTTACTCCTCTCTCTTCCTGGGCTATGAGCAACACTGCCTGGCTTTGCAGTAGGGGTGGCACAAGCACTCCCTGGCCACCCCAGCTGGTATCTCAGTAGGTCATGTGCACCCTAAGTCTGCTGGCCTAGTGGGGTGGCAGTAACAGACAACATAAGGTAGGAGTTGCATTGTATTTGAGAAGATGTGGAGAGGACTGTGAACCTACTTTTGTGCAACACTGAAAAGTGTATTCTTCCTTTCAGTTAATTGACATGAGTCTTTGAAGAATAGACTCACATTCTGAGTCTGAGTGAATATTCTGGCATTCAGTACCCTTATTTAGCAAGCTAAAGTCTTGAAAAATATGATTCCTGAATTTTCTTGATTTCTAGAGTAATATAGTGTGTTCCTCAGAAGAAAGTGGTTTCTTAAAAGGTGTTTCTTTCAGAAACTAATCTTCTTTTCCTTTTTAAAAAAATAGGATTAAAAGAGTAAAATTAATATCTAACAAAGGGACTGAAACTGACAATGACCCAGGTTGTGTACCTCCTATCATTAAGAAGAGACAGTGCCGACCAGAGGTTAGAATGTGGCAAACAAGAGAGAAAGCAAAGTTTTCAGATGGAGAAAAGTGCCGTAGGGTAAGATTTAGATGGATTTAACAAAACTTTGTTTCCCCTTGTAACATTTTCTTATTAAGACTCTGTTAGAGATATAAAATAGATACTAATAGGTTTGTAATCTTGTCCTAACAAGTAAAACCACAGGATATGACAAGAAAATATCACATGAAAACTGGAGCTTAGTCTTAAAATTTCTCTTACTAGACTTACTAGTTTTGTGAGTTATTCAGCCTTAGCAGTAGCTGGTAGATTTGATAAACAGATTAGTGAAGAGGGTGCCGTATTCCAGAGAAGCAGTGATGGTATGGTAAGGGTTTGGGAAACTCTTGCGGGTTTAGGTAGACATGGTCTGCTCTGTGTCTATAACTATACACTTTTACTGTTTTGTGTGTTAGATTGTGGCATTTAGTCTAATATTTACTGAGCCATTACTGTTGTTTTAAGTACGTTACATATACTAACTTATCTCATTTTTTTTTTCAACAAACCTGTGAAATAGATGCTTTTATTATCATTTTTCAGATGAGGAAACTCAAATCCAGAAAGATTTAGTAAATGATCAAGGTTATGTATCTAGTAAGTAGAAGAGCTGGGATTCAGGCTTAGAGTTTGACTTGACTCTTGGTTTTTGAATACTACATAACAGTGCCTCATCATTTAGGATATTTAGTTTCAAGTTAATATTTTTCTTAATTGACATTAATATATGGATTTGTTCAATTTTGGGTTAGTTTACTTTTACTGCTTTGTAGTTTTCGTATTTTTTTTTGTTATCACACATGTAGCTTACTAGAATACTTTGGGTTGTGCCCTGTGAAGGTATTGTTGTTCTCTTTGTAGGAGACTTTTAGGCATTTGGGTAATGGGGTATCTGATGACCTGTCAAGTGAGGAAGATGGTGAAGCACAGACACAGATGATATTATTGCGTAGGAGTGTGGAAGGGGCCTCAAGTGACAATGGCTGTGAAGTTAAGAATAGAAAATCAATACTTTCAAGGCACCTCAACGCTCAGGTAATTTCTCTTTTAGTTTATGAAATTATAGGACTAAATCACGGAATTTAGTAACAAAGTATTTAACCTAGTTTCCTATTGCTTGTTGCTTTGATTTTTGGCAGGTAAAGAAAACCACTACAGGAGGGTGTCATATTGTGCGGGATTCAGATAGTCTGGCAGAATCAGAATTTGAATCAGCAGCCTTCAGCCAGGTAAAGTGTCCCTTTGAGAAATCAAGGTATATTTTTGAGTGTAATAACTTTATCCATTCCTTTTTTTATTAGTTGGCCTAAAGCAGCATTTACATTAATATTTGCCTGCCCTCCTTTGTCTCTAATTATCCATGTCCTTATCTAGCAGCTTTTAACGACTACTTAGAAAGAGAAATAATTTTTTTCCACATTGACTCTAAGCTTAAGAGTATCACAGATGGGCTAGGCATGGTAGCTCATGCCTGTAATCACAGCGCTTTGAGAGGTTGAGGTGGGTGGCTCACTTGAGTCCAGGAGTTCGAGACCAGCCAGGGAAACAAAATGAGACCCCATCTTTACAAAAAAAAAAAAAAAAAAAAAGCTGAGTGTAATGGCCTGAAGCTGTAGTGCCAGGTACTCAGGAGACTGAGGCAGGAGGATCACGTGAGCCCAAGGTCACATAGCCCAAGCCCAAGAGGTTGCAGTGGTCTATGATCATGCCTCTGCACTCCAGCCTGGGTGACAGGGCGTGGCCCAGTATCAAAAAATAAAAAAGCATTATTGTTATGCAAAGCCCTGTGAACAAATGAATTTATGGTGATTGACTTATGAAGGCTTTCAAGCCATTGCTGTAGATAACTTGTTTTATTTCACATAGTTATTGTTAAAGATGAATAACATTTTTTGCTTTTTGTTTTCCTTTAAAGTGCTCTAGATCTGGTGTGAGTGGTGGCTCTCGAAGCCTCAATATGTCAAGAAGAGACTCAGAAAGCACCCGCCATGACTCGGAGACTGAAGATATGTTATGGGACGACCTGCTACATGGCCCAGAGTGCCGGTCATCTGTCACCAGTGACAGTGAGGGGGCCCATATGAGTACCCTTCACTCAGGGACCAAACGTGACCCGAAAGAGGATGTTTTTCAGCAGGTCTGTGCAGGCATGATAAGAATAGCTAGTATTTACTGTGTTCTTACTGTGTGTCAGGCACGCTGTTACCTCATTTAACTTTACAGTGATCCTTTAGGGTAGATACTGTTATTGTCCTCAGTTAGAGGTGAGGAGATTGTGCAGAGCCTGTAAGTGAAGATGTTGGAACTAGAACTCAGGGAGAAGTAATCTAGAGTTGCCATAAATTTTTCTTTACATTACTTTCTCATATTATTTTCCTCAGAATGGTCCTTAATGTTTGTTTATATTTTGTATGAGTAGACTTCGTATATAGAAAATATACCCTCTATTTTCATGAACATCACAGTATTAGATATGAATTACTAGAAATTGGCATTGCTTGCTTTTTCAATAATACATAAATAATGCTTTTAATTTCAGGTGTTATATTAATATCATAAAATCAGCCATTAGAAGGTATTTCAAATTTCCAGCCAAGGTAGAGATTCATTCTACGTCTCTATAAATTTTTACCATCTGTCATTTAGTGATAATAGTTCCTACTTCTTAGGAATAGTGTGAAATAGCTAATGAGATAATATAAAATACGTAGCATAATACCTGGCAAGAGTAAATATCCAGTCAGTGTTAGCATTATTATTAATATCTCCATCAGATGATCAGTTGGCCTCTTCTCAAATACTTCTGGAGCTGGAGTGCTTGTTACTTAATGATACAGCTTATTTAGATCGAATGATGAAGAAATAGTTCTCATATCAACCTTTCAGTTGCTTAACGTCAATGATTGTTATGGTTCTTAGGTTTTTGTTCTTTAGGCTAAATATTTCCACATTGGCTTGCAAATAGTGGATGATGGATATACATTTGTTTATCAAATTCTCCTGATTCAAAGAAACCATTGATTTAAATTAGACATTTTCACTTAAAAAATCCACTTCATTAAATGTATATAATTTTTAAAAAATGAACCAGAAACAATGTAAATTTTCTCATTAAAGTTTTGTTTGTTTGGTTTTTGAGACAGAGCTCACTCTGTTGCCCAGGCCGGTGTACAGTGGTACAATCATGACTCACTGCAGCCTTAACCTCCCCGGCTCAAGTGATCCTCCCACCTCAGCCTCTTCATTAGCCACCATGCCTGGCTAATTTTTAAATTTGCTATAGAGACAGGGTTGCACTGTGTTGCTTAGGCTGGTATTGAACTCCTGGGTTCAAACAGTCCTCCCACTTCAGCCTCCCAAAGTATTGGGATTATAGCACCATTCCTGGCTCTCATTAAAATTTTATGCTACTTTTTCTGATTTTGCAGTGAGTTTAAATATTTTTTACATTCAGTTTGAAGAGTCATCTAAATTACATTAGCTTTCAGTAGTTATGCATAGCATCATGATAATCTGGATCTCCTTAGCACTCCCCTCCTTTGAGATTTGCAGTATAATTTTAAGACATATATAAGAATAATTGAGTGTGGTAAACTTACTGTGTTAAACTCAATAAATCATTTTCCAATCCTGTTCACCTAGCCTGTTCTTCTTGTATTTCTTTTTCTTTTTTTTTTGAGACAGAGTCTCGCTCTGTTGCCAGGCAGCAGTCTGGAGTGCAGTGGCACGATCTCAGCTCACTGCAACCTCGGCCTTCCAGGTTCAAGCAGTTCTCCTGCTTCAGTCTCCTGAGTAGCTGGGACTACAGGCATGCACCACCACGCCCAGCTAATTTTTGTATTTTTTAGTAGAGACACAGGGTTTTACCATATTGACCCGGATGGTCTCAGATCTCTTGATCTCATGATCTGCCTGCCTTAGCCTCCCAAAGTGCTGGGATTATAGGTGTGAGCCATTGCGCCTGGCCTTCCTGTATATCACACTAACCACCCAAGTCTGAAAGTTTCATTCTTGACCCCATTCTTTTTTATTTTTTGAGATGGTGTCTCACTCTGTCTCCCAGGCTGGAGTACAGTGGCACAATCTCAGCTCACTGCAGCCTCTGCCTCCCGGGTGCAAGCAATCCTCCTGTGTCAGCCTCCCAAGTAGGATTACAGGTGCCTGCCATCACACCGGCTAATTTTTGTATTTTTAGGAGAGATGGGGTTGTGCCATGTTTGCCACGCTGGCCTGACCTCAAATGATCCACCTGCCTTGGCCTCCCTGGGACTATAGACATGAGCTGCTGTGCCTGGCCAGCCTCATTCTCCCCACCCTTAGTCACTTATGTTCTCTTGAGCTGTCTAAATACCTGCATGTCTCTGTTTGTGGTCATCCTGCTTGGTGCAGGCCATCATCTTTTTTTTTTTTTTTAGTCGCCCTGCCCAGGCATAGTTCACCATCCTTTGGGTCCTAACACGTGCGCTCGTGCAGTGCAGGCCATCATCTTAACCGATCGTTACAGCAGCTTCTGTAGGCTTGCCTCTGTTTCTTTCGTTTTCCTCACTATAGCCACAGTGATACTTCTAAAATACAAATTTGACAACACCGCTTTTTAAAAAGTCCTTTTTTCTTCTTTCTGTATAGCTTGCTTCTTGTATTTATTCTAATACAGTCTCATCTCTGTCCATTCTCTCCCTGCTCCTCCCATGGTTAACTTCAACTCGACTAACCTCCTTCTTTTCTGATATGTACCAGGCCTCATACGCATACAGGTTTCTTTCCTGGGACATGATTTTCTCTAATGCCCATTCTTTTGGTTTATTCCTTTTTATTTTCAGGCAGGTCTTGGCTTGAGTGATGCTTCCTTTAGGAAGCATTTCCTATATACTCCTAAAGCACTCTCGCCTTTCCTTACCATGTATAGTGACTTCCTTCAGAAGTCTGTAAGCTCCCTGATAGCAAGGACATCTATCTTGTTCTCCATTTTATCCACAGGCATGCTACAGAGTAAGTGCTTAATAAATATGAGTTGTTTAAGTCAGTGAATCAACGAATCACATCAGTGATTCAAATTCAGTAAATGCTTGTCGGCATTATGCTAAGCATTGCGATAGAAAGAGAAAAAATATGCCAGATGGTCCTTTTCTAGAGGTTATATTTTAGTTTGGGAACAAGATAATTATATAGGAAATAAGTAGAGGATGCCATAAAAGCACCATATAATAAGATGCTAATTTGTCTGATGCGCATAAAAGTTTTTCTTTTCAGATAAGGGCAAAGTTAGTAAGGCTGAGGCTGTCAGAGAGGACCATGATGGTGAAATGGGACTTGAGCTAGTACTTACAGAATAAGACATGATACGGCAGAGGAGGAGAGGGAGCTGTTTTTCGTTGTGACTGTCTCCACTTGAGCTTTTCTAAACCTCGCTAAATTTCTGTGTCCTGGTTAGACCAGAAACAGACTTAATAGTCCTCAGTCATTCTTGTGATAAATGTTGCCTTTTAGTGTCTCTCTTTCTTTACTTCCCGTTTCTCCCAGTGTAGTCTCCTAGCTCTAGAAATAACTTTCTTCCTTAATAGCCCATGACTACACTAAGCTTATCCTCACTTCCATACCTTTAGAGAGGGAAGCAACCTTGGAGATCATGGGCTCCTATCTCTCCTCCTAACAGAAGACATTTATTCTCTCTCCAGGTGAGAGAAAGGCTAAGTAAAGAAAAAAGGACCTAGTGGGCCATGGTGCTATGTGACTGTGGTTCTCACTACATAGGAGGCTGAGATGGAAGGACTGCTTGAGCCCAGGAGTTTGGGACCAGCCTGGGCAACATAGTGAGACCCTGTCTCAACAAAAAGAAAAAAGAAAGCACCAGCCTCATAGAGGCGGTTATTGGAGTGGTGGCATATAGAGCCTGGGAATCTGCATTTTTTTTTACTATTTTGGATATTTGGTAATTTTTCTAACTTTTCAAAATGGGAATACAAGTAATTTTGAAGTCCTTTCAAACTGTAAGATAAAGGGAAAGAAAAACTAACAGAGGAAAGAAAGCTGGGATAGAAACAGTGTTATATTTTTCTTCTCAGAGCCATTTATTCTGGCTTCAGAATTCAAGCCCTGCCTCTGACCGAGTTAGTGCAATAATCTGGGAAGGGAATGAGTGCAAAAAGATGGATATGTCTGTATTGGAAATAAGTGGCATCATCATGAGCAGGGTAAGATTAAATTCGGTTTTAGATTTTTTAAAACATGATCAGGAGCTATTTCCTAAGAATCTCTTAGTGATTAAAACAGTATGACTGCCTTTGAAGCATGTGTATATCATGTATAATAGTATGTATCATTAACATATATATCTAATTTTGTAGTCAGTCTTTACATGGGAGCATATGTATTATTTGTTATACCTGGTCTCTATTAATTAGTGTAATCAACTGTTCAGGTATTCTCTACAGATACTCCTTATCTCATTGAATCATAATTTTTAATAAGATTTAAAAGTCATAAATCTGTATGTTATTTATATTTATGCTTTTAGAATGTGTGTTTAATAGTCTAAATAGTATTTGATAAATACTGCTTCTTATTGTTTGTTTGAGATGGAGTCTTGCTCTGTCACCAGGCTGGAGTATGCAGTGGTGCAATATCAGCTCACTGCAACCTCTGCCTCTTGGGTTCAAGCGATTCTCCTGCCTCAGCCTCCTGAGTAGCTAGAACTACAGGCGTGCACCACCATGCCAGGCTAATTTTTCTAATTTTAGTAGAGATGGAGTTTCACCGTATTGGCCAGGCTGGTCTCGAACTCCTGACTTCGTGATTTGCCCACCTCGACCTCCCAAAGTGCTGGGATTACAGGCGTGAGCAACCGCACCCGGCCTGGTAAATACTGCTTTGTAACTCCATTTAGCTACACAATAATGATGGAAATTTTAATTCACAGGTCAATGCATATCAGCAAGGAGTAGGTTATCAGATGCTGGGAAATGTTGTCACTATTGGATTAGCATTTTTTCCATTCTTACATCGACTTTTCCATGAGAAGAACCTTGACCAACTGAAGTCCATTTCAGCTGAGGAGATCTTGACCCTCTTTTGCGGGGCACCACCTGTTATACCTATTATTGTTTTGTCCATAATTAACTTTTTTGAAAGATTGTGTCTTACTTGGATGTTTTTTTTCATGATGTGTGTGGCAGAGAGAACATATAAACAGGTCAGTGGAGAAATAAGTACAATTTTTTACATCTGTTTTTGTGTATGATATTCCATTGAGTTGTTTTTGGTCTCTTGATTTGGTCTCTCTTCAAGTTGATGTGGCAATAAAGGATTGATAAGTGGACTTTTTATATTTGTGGATTTATTGTTTGTGTTACCATTTACAAATTACACATTATAATCTCAAATTCTGCCAGGCCGCATGTGTACAATATGTGGCTTAGCCAGTGAGTGAACTTAGCTGACTGCTTAGCATCTGTACCTCAGTGTGCCTTGTTTTTTATCCACAGAATAAAGTAATTCTCTACATGTGATAATGTTTTTGTGAAAATGGCCAGTAAGAAATAAATTTATTGAAATTTGATAAGAATTGTAAGTGGAGGGCTTAAAATATTGGTAATATGCAGAAGGGTGATTTTTAATTTTTTTTTGAGACAGGGTTTTGCTCTGTTGCCAGGGTTGGAGTGCAGTGGTGTGATCACGGCTCACTCCAGCTTTGACCTCTCCTGAGGACCAAGCAGTCCTCCTCGCTCAGCTTCCCAGTAGCTGGGACTACAGGCCTGGGCCACCACACCCGGCTGATATTTTTTGTTTTCATAGAGGTGAAGTCTTTGTTGCCCAGGCTGGTCTCAAACTCCAAGGCTCAGGCGATTCTCCATCTTTGCCTCCCAAAGTGCTGGGATTACAGGGGATGAGCCACTGTGCTGAACCCAAGAAATGTGATTTTTGAATGGAAATTGAATTTGAGAATAAGCCAGAATCATGTATAAACATTTGAGTTTGTGAAGTAGTGGATCCACAAACTCCAGCCGTTCTTTGGGGGTTTCCAAAGAATATTGCTTGCAAATTTTGAGTGTACCATATTGTGAAGAAGTCTATTTCTATGTAATGTGCTTTGAAAACAAAAGGGTAATGAGCTATTAATGAAATTTTTCACTGTCCATCTTAGTGATCACTGATTAGAACTTCATTCTTTTTAACATTTTTATATTCTGGGAATATTGTTGTCAATTATATGAATACACAGACACATACATCCGTTTCACTATGATTATTTTTTTAAACCTCTTCTAGAGATTTTTATTTGCAAAACTCTTCAGCCATATTACTTCTGCCAGGAAAGCTAGGAAATATGAAATACCTCATTTCAGACTTAAGAAGGTGGAGAATATTAAAATATGGTTATCACTGCGTTCCTATCTAAAGGTGAGTTCGATTTGATCAACAATAGAGTATATAAAAGAATGTGCTCACTGAAGCTCCTGGCAGCAGTAGACATTGTAGTTCTGGTATCGGGCAGATCATAGCAGCAGCTGACAGGTTTGCTGGACAGTAAGTTGGATGTCATCTTTCTGCAAAGCTGGGAGGGGTAGGTAAAGAAGAGCTTAGAAAGGTAAAAGAAAATCTAAATTTCCTAGGGGCAAAGTGATGATTAAATAGTACACATTGTTCTGACTTTTTGGGAAATATTCCAAGTGAAAGTATGTCAATGAATCAGTCTCCCTTACTTTGGAAATGCATGGATTTCAGTACTTGAAGTTGATGACGTCCAAAATATGTTAAAAATCCTATCTCAGAAACTTCTTATAAATGTTATTTCCGCATGCATGTAGTGTAATTCAGTGTTAATGATGTGAGGGCCATTGCTGTGTGCCAGTAATCTAAAACATTAACATGTGTCTCACTCCACAGAGACGGGGGCCACAGCGCTCAGTTGATGTGGTTGTATCTTCAGTCTTCCTGCTGACGCTTTCAATTGCTTTCATTTGTTGTGCTCAGGTAAAAGTTTCATATTTGCTTTAAGGAAAAATGAAAATTCTATTATAGGGTTCAATTTCTGTTGTAGATTAGGTCTTTAAGTGTGTATTTTTAATGCATCTACATTTTTTATTATTTTGGATATTTGGTAATTTTTCTAACTTTTCAAAATGGGAATACAAGTAATTTTGAAGTCCTTTCAAACTGTAAGATCACTCTAACTTTAGTTGGTAATTTTTTTTTTTTTTTGAGACAGTCTTGCTCTGTTGCCCAGGCTGGAATGCAGTGGCATGATCTCGGCTCACTGCAACTTCCGCCTCCTGGGCTCAAGTGAGTCTCCTGCCTCAGCCTCCCGAGCAACTGGGATTACAGGCACCCGCCACCACGTGGGCCTGGCTAATTTTTATACTTTTAGTAGAGATGGAGTTTCGCCATGTTGGCCACGCTAGTCTCAAACTCCTGTCCTTGTGATTCTCCCACCTTGGCCTCCCAAAGTGCTGGGACTACAGGCGTGAGCTACCGCACTTATCATATCATGATTGCAAAATATCGACTTTCTAACTACATTATTTTTTCTGTATTTATTGTCACTCCAAGTAGACCTTTCATTTCTTTCCCTCTCATTTATTCATCCATTTATTTATTATACTGTGGAATCATTTATTCTCATTTTTATCCAGTGGGTTAAAATCTATTGCTATAGGCTGGGCATAGGAACTTAACACCTGCAATCCCAGCACTTTGGGAGGCTGATATGGGAGGATTGTGTGAGGCCAGGAGTTCAAGACCAACCTGGGCAACATAATGAGGACCCCTCTCTTAAAAAAAAAAAATTCTTACTCTATTTGCTTTGAAGCCTACATTGTCCAAAACTTGGCCAGTGGGAGTCCCTTGAAGGCCCCCTCTCGTATCCTTTTGACAGGGTCTCCTTTTTGTAAAGCACTTCTGTGCTTTCTGCATTAAAAGAAGTTACAGGTTTATCTTATACTTTCACATTTATTGAATTTTAACATCATTCTGTGGTCAAAACATACTCTGAATATTTTCAGTCCTTTGAAGTATGTAGAGGCTTACTTTAATCCAGCATATATTCAGTTTTGTTAAATTTTCCATTAGCACATTGAAAAGATTTGTATTCTGTCATTGTTAAGAGCAGTGGCCTATATGTATCAAATTTTCTATATTCTTACTGAATTTTTTGGTCTGCGTATTCTGTCAGCTATTGGTAGAAGTGTGTTCAAGTCTGATTGTGGATTTGTCTGTTTCCTCTTATTTCTGTCAATGTTTGCTTTATATATCTTGAAGCTGTGTGACTGGGTGCATTCAGATTTAGTATTGTTATCCATCCTTTTGGGGAATTGGCTTTTATGTCCTTTATAGTGATTTCTTTTTTCTGAATCCAGGATCCAATTCAGAATTACGTATTGCATTTAATTATCATGTCTCTTTAGTCTCCTTTAATCTGAAAATATGTCAGGCTTTGTCTTTCATGACCCTATAAAATGTGTCTATTTTTAATGTTTCTTCTTGATTTGATGTTAATTTCATTGCCCCAGCTGTCTCTGTTTGTTTGTTTTTGAGATGGAGTTTCGCTCTTGTTACCCAGGCTGGAGTGCAATGGCGCGATCTCGGCTCACCGCAACCTCCGCCTCCTGGGTTCAGGCAATTCTCCTGCCTCAGCCTCCCGAGTAGCTGGGATTACAGGCATGCGCCACTGTGCCCAGCTAATTTTTTGTATTTTTAGTAGAGACAGGGTTTCACCTTGTTGAGGATGGTCTCGATCTCTTGACCTCGTGATCCACCTGCTTCGGCCTCCCAAAGTGCTGGGACTACAGACGTGAGCCACCGCACCTGGCCCCTGCACCAGCTGTCTTTTGATTCATTTTTACATGTTATATCTTTGTCTACCTGCTTTTATTCTTTTGTTCTCATATTTTAGGTGTGCCTCTTTTATCAGCATGTTGTTTTATGGTTGCTTGCTGTTATTTTTCTTTTTCTCTTTCTCTTTTTTTCACTGGGACTACAAGTGCATGCCACCTAGCCTAATTTTTTAATTTTTTATAGGAGCAGGGGATGGCTTTGTTGCCCAGGCTGGCCTTGAACTCCTGGCTTCAAGGGAACCTCCTGCTTTGGCCTTCAAGAGTGCTGGGATTACAGGCATGAGACACTGTGCCCAGTTGGTTGCTTGTTTTTTAATCCATCCTCACAGTCTCAGTATTCTGGAGTGTCTGGCCCATTTAAACTTACTGTTATTACTACAACCACAAATATATTTGGTTCTTACATTTTCTACCTGCTAATTGTCCTTTTTCACTCCTCATGTCATCTTTTTATTAACCAAATGTTTTTAAATATTCCATTTAATCCTATTAACTTGTTATATATTCTTTTATTGTTTAAGTAGTAAAGAGATTACAACATGCATGCTTAATTTTTTATAGTCTGATAAAATGATTAATTTATCATTCTCTTGATAATGCTAGGCCTTTAGAACAGTATCCCATTCACCTCTTCACCTTTTGTATTACTGTCCTTCACCTTGATTTTACATCAATTTTAAAACTGTAAGATGTAATTATTATTGTTTTGTGTAATTAATCATTTATATTTACTCACATATTTACTTTCTCCATTGCTTTTTATTATTTCCTGAATTTCCGTGTTTCCCTCTGGGATTATTTTCCTCCTACCCGAGTAACTCCTTTAGTATTTATTTTAGTACCGGTCTGATGGTGATTAATTCCCTCAGTTTTTGCTTATTTGAAAATATATTTTATCACTTTCACTTTTGAATTATGTGTGTGTGTGTGTGTGTGTGTGTGTGTGTGTGTATTTTTAAACCAGGAATCGAATTCCAGATTGTCAGTTACTTCCTTTCAGCACTTTTAGCATTCTATTGCTTTCTGAACTCCACATTTTATTTTGAAGTCCGCTGCTAGGCTGCCATGGCAAGCCAAAGCTAATATGAGTCAAACTCAGAAAACAAAGGTCTTGTAAGGCAATGGAGCTGGCTAGGATAGAAATCTCAATAGCCCTAGGGGAAGCCAGATGGAGAGGGCAGCTGCTGGGCGACTTCCTGTTTTTTGCAAGGTTTCTGTGAGCATTATCTGTATGTTTTTCAGTAAATTTCATCTTACCTCATGCTCCTTTGAGTAAATTTCTTTACTTTTAAATCAATGAATTTAAGAACAAAAGCTTTTACCACAAAATTTGACACATAATAGGCACTCAATAAATGGTAGTTGCTGCTGCTATTGTTATTTGGAGTCTAAAACAGAATAAAGAACTGATCCTTAGGATTTTCTAGTCATCCAGATGGATGGGTCACATGTTTTAGGGAGCTCACTTGACCTAATGCAAACTTACTACGCTGAATAATGGTCACCATACAGTTGTGAGTGGACACAATGTTAGTTAAAGTAGCTGCAAATACCTTTGTCTTATTTTATGTGTGGCGTTTTCCTCCTTTGTTACTTCTAGACCCTTGCTAAAGGAAAAATCTAGAAAACTTAGAGAAATATATAATGATCAAATAAATAGGTAATCCTTTATGAGTATGAAAGCTCTTCTGCTTTGAGTATTAAAATATTGGATATTTGGAAATCTTCTTAAATTGACAGAGTAAAAGAGTAATTATATGATTTTAAGGTAAATGAAAAACTTAACTTTTTTTTTATCCTTTATATAGGTTCTCCAAGGACATAAAACTTTCCTGAATGATGCTTATAACTGGGAGTTTTTGATCTGGGAAACAGCTTTACTACTTTTCTTACTGCGTCTGGCCTCATTGGGGTCTGAAACCAATAAGAAATACAGCAATGTTTCGATATTACTTACAGAACAGGTATTGATCAGCCCTATCAATTGGGTTTAGTGGTTAGAGGTAGCATAATGCACTGCAAGTTTTCTGCAGAGGATTCAGGGTTTAATCACTGTCTAGCTCTCACTTTCTAGCTACATGACCTCACAAGTTACTTTGCTGCTCTGTAGTTGCTTATCCCTAATAAAATGGATGTAGTATCCCCACCTGCTCCCAGGATTGTGAGAATTAAGATCTAATGGATTGAAAAGACTTTGCATACTGTAGAGAGTTATATATATTTTTTGAGACAGAGTTTCACTCTGTCACTAGACTGGAGTCCAGTGGCTTGATCTTGGCTCACTGCAATCTCTGCCTCCCAGGTTCAAGCCATTCTCCTGCCTCAGCCTCCCAGGTAGCTGGGATTACAGGTGTGCACCACCACACCCAGCTAATTTTTGTATTTTTAGTAGAGATGGGGTTTCACCATGTTGGCCAGGATGATCTTGATCTCTTGAACTCATGATCCACCCACCTCAGCCTCCCAAAGTGCTGAGATTATAGGCATGAGCCCCCATGCCCAGCCTATAGAGAGATTGTTATTGGTGGTAATGGAGCATGCTTTTAATCTCATATTCTATGTCAAGTATTAGATCTTCAGAGTTCTTGTCATTTAGCATGTATGATAAGCTTCTTGAATTCTGTATCAGACAGAGTACATTATTCAGTGTTTGGAAAACACTTGGTTTTCAGTATGTGAATAGATGCTAAGATTGAGAAATATCTCTTGTAAATACAGAGTAGTATAAAGTGTTTTGAAAAATTTTGTTTTTAATTTCAGGTTTATCCATAAACTTTGAATAAAAACACTTTTTTTTGTCTTAGAATCATACTGAAGAATTCTTCCTACAAGGCAAAATATAAGGAATTAGTAAAGTAAAAGGAGCTGTTTTCTTCCATTCATAAATATTTAATGAGGATGTTAGATTATCTAGGGGACAGTGAGATGAATAAGATACAGGTTTTGAACTCAAGGTGCTTATATGCTAATTATGTTATATTGAAGTAATATTAAAAATTTTCATTGTTTTGATATTTAAATTGCTTCATCATTTATTATTTCTTCTTCACTAAGTGGTTTTTCTTTGGCAGTGGGAGACTGATCAGGGATGGGGGCTAGAGTGTGTGAAATATATTCTCTGGAGCAATAGCTATTAGAATTTCAAAATTTATTTTATTTGAAAACATAACCTTTGAAATATGCCAGATTTTATGAAGTATGTGTATAATATATATGTGTATATATATATTTTTTGTAAGAAATTTACCTTAATTTCTATTCCTTCCTTAGATTAATTTATATCTTAAGATGGAAAAAAAGCCAAATAAGAAAGAACAGCTTACTCTAGTAAACAATGTATTAAAGCTCTCTACCAAGTTGTTGAAAGTAAGTCATAGCCCGTGATACACTTTTACTATCATTTAAGTTAAATCAGCCTCTTCTCTGAGCAAACATTAAATGTTGATGATACCTTGGGTTGGGAGGGTCCTGGAAGTGGACCCTTCCACAGTGGCATCAGGGATAAGGGTCACAGTGGTGGTTAGGACCAGAGCTGAGGTCACAGACCTCCTGGAGGTTAAGGACAAAGAGTAGCTCCCCATCACCAAGTTGGCCCATCTGGTCAAAGACATGAAGTTCAAGTCCTTGGAGATCTGCCTTTTCTCTCTGTGCATCAAGGACCAGGTTCAAGGCATTTGTCACCATCGAGGACTACAGTGGCTATGTTGGTCTGGTTGTTAGTGCTCCAAGGAGGTAGCCAGCACCATCCATGGGCAATAATCATGGTCAAGCTCTTTATCCCTCCCTGTGTGAGGAGGCTACGGGGGGAGCAAGATTGGCACGCCCTATACTCACACTGCCCTTGTAAGGTGACTGGTAGGCTGCATCTCTGTGGGTGGCCTCATCCCTGCCTCCAGAGGCATTGGTATCATCTTGGCCCCTGTGCCCAAGAAGCTGCTGCTGATGGTGGGTACCCACCACTGCTGAACTTTGAGGGCTATGCTGCCACCCTGGCCAATTTTGCCAAGGGCACCTTTGATGCCATCTCTAAGACCTACAGCTATTTCACCCCAACTTCTGGAAAGAGACATGTTCACCAAGTCTCCCTATCAGGAATTCACTGACCATGGCCTGAAGACCCATACCAGAGTCTCCATGTTGAGGACCCAGGCTCTAGCTGTGGTCACCACATGGTGAGTTTTGTTTTTGTTTTGAGACCGAGTCTAGCTCTATCACCAGGCTGGAGTGCAGTGGTGAGATCTCAGCTCACTGCAACCTCCACCTCCCAGGTCCAAGCAATTCTCTTGCCTCAGCCCCTTGAATAGCTGGGATTACAGGTGCATGCCACCACAGTCAGGTAATTTCTGTATTTTTAGCGGAGACAGAATTTCACTGTGTTGGCCAGGCTGGTCTCGAACTCCTGACCTCGTGATCTGCCTCCCTCAGCCTCCCAAAGTGCTGAGATTACAAGTGTGAACCACTGTGCCCGGCCCATGTGGCGATTTTATGCCAGAAAAGTAAAGTGAGTTAGCCTGTTTTAAATACATTAATTAATATATTACTTCTCAGAACCCAGTTAGAGATAGATGCCAGGCTGTGTGTATTCAAAATGCTGACCTGATGGTTTTGGGTTAATAACTACGTATGAAAAAATTTCCAATTTTGTTACCCAGGTTCTGATGATTGCTGAGGTCTGCCACATTGTGTGTGTGTGTGTGTGTGTATTTTTAACGACAAATGACATTGCTCAAATTTACCTAAAAAAGCTTGGTGGAAAAGTAGGTGAAAACACATTATAGCTTTTTTTGAAGGTAGCTCTTTGAATATTAAGGAAAGAGAGCCTTAACCATTCATCTTTACCCAAGATAAAATACAGCAAGAAGTCATTGAATAGCTGTGACAAAACATGTATCTCATTTCAATTCTTTAATGTTTTTTGTAGGAGCTGGACACACCATTTAGACTCTATGGACTGACAATGAATCCCTTAATCTACAATATCACAAGAGTAGTTATCCTTTCTGCTGTCTCAGGTGTTATAAGTGATCTTCTAGGATTTAATATAAGAGTAAGTATCCCCACCACTCTAGCATCTTAGTTTTAAAAATTACTGTGTACAGAAATTTGTGTGTGTGTGTGTGTGTGTGTGTTTCTAGCATGGAAATAACTCTTGAGGTAAAGAAATAGACATTTTGATTGGTGGTCCACAGGCTTTTTAGCTTTGGTTTTCTCATTTTACACAAGTATAACAGACAGTGCTCTTGAATGGAACAAAACAAATCAAGTTTGAATTTTGTATCAGTTTAATGGTCTGAGCTGGGTAAGGGTCTTACTCTGATGCTGGGAAATGTACAGAGGTAGCATGAATGAAAACCAATACATGAAGTGCATTGTATTATTTTTGATCCTGGAAGTTTTCAATGCTTTTTCTCTATGATGTTCTGTGGTTGCTGTTGCTTGACTTGATACGTTTTCTTCTTTTACAAAGGAATCTTGTTTATAGTCACGTAAGTGTACCTGTAAATCCCATGTGGTTTTCCTAGAACTAATTTATTTTGATTTTCTTTTCTTAGCTGTGGAAAATTAAATCATAAGCTGAGTTAACTGCCTGGACTCTTCCCCTGGCTGGTATCAATACTTACCCATTAAGGAAAGAGATGACTGCAGAAACCAGTGAGATACCCACCTGCTTGTTCACATGCACGGGCGCTCTCAGCTCTGCCAAAGCCAATGCATGGTGTTTCCAGAGGAACAAGTCCTTTTCCAACTGGGCATGCATGCTAAAAACCTGTATTTCCGTGCTTTTCAAACAGTATGAATAGTCAGCCAACTAAAGACTGTGTGTTATGGTAACACAAGGACAACTTTCTAGTTAGGAAATTTATTCTGGGCACTTCAGTACTGTGACAGTTATGTTTACAGGACATAGTCTTTTGGGCAACTATGGTAGATGCCCAAAGCATGAAGCACATATCTTTTATTGGAAATATGCAAATTCAATACTTTTTCATTACAGTCTATAGAATTGGAGATTTCATTTCTCTATCAGAGAGATCAAGCAAACTATTTTAGGATAAATCCGAATAAAAGAACTTTACTGGACAATTTCGGTTTCTAGGTTTTCTTTGTTGTTGAAGGGAAAAAATAACTTTTAAACTGTGGAGAAATTTATTAGTTTATAATTTTGAGTTAATCCTAATAACTGTATAGTTGTTGGTGAACAATGCATGCATACAATAGGCCATGTAATTCAGCACGAGAAGTTTAAGTGTATGCCCACTCATCCATTTCCATCATACAACATGGCTTCCATGTTCTATGTGGAAATCATGGAAACCTGGTTTCCATATAGATCGTCTGAGTTGTGGTTCCTAACACAGTGCTATGTGTCCTATCACAAACACCACTGATAGTTTATCTGTTGTGCAACTTTTAATGTATTCAACCCCGAGTACATTTTCAGGTCCTCAGTGTCTATAATCAGCCATGCCATACCTTTGACGATGTAAGTTCTGCTATGCAGCATCCTGTTAAGCACATGCATATACATATGTTAATGAAAACTCTAATAGTCTACTTGCAATTCTTGCTCATTAAGTTACCTGCTTTAAGGAACCTTTTTTTTTTTTTGAGATGGAGTCTCACTCTCACCCAGGCTGGAGTGCAGTGGCACCATCTTGGCTCACTGCAGCTCCGCCTCCTGGGTTCAAGTGATTCTCCTTCCTCAGCCTCCTGAGTAGCTGGGATTACAGGTGCCCATCACCATGCCTGGCTAATTTTGAAGAATATCTTGAGGCAAATTGAAAGGCTGAACATTTTAATAATAAGGTTTTGTGAAGTTTTAAATAGAAGTAATTTAGAAACTTGGTTATTACATATAAAGCATGTATTCATTCAAAATTAGAGTATCAGTTGCACATTTTCTAATAGACAGGAAGATCTGTGAGGTTTAGAGGTGGATTTCTAAAGAGTCCAGGGATTGAGATCAGACCTTTCTGAGTTCAAGTCATTGGCCCTGCCACATATTAGCTCTTCACATATCAGTTTCCTCAGTTGTTAACCCATTTATGGGGATAGTAACCACAAATGGGGACAATACATAATAGGGTTGTTAAGATTAAATGAGGTTATCATGTCAGATGCTTGCACAGTGTAAAGTATTTAATACTTAGTAAATCTGTCACTACTATTTAAAGTCCTTCAAAAAAAATCTCACTGATAATTCCTATGAAGACAGAAACATAGAAAGCAAGGTTGCTGAACTAGACGCTGATTACCAAAAATATGCAGACTTTTATACATGAGTTATAACTTTTAAATGGTAAAACTCCATTATAGTGATCTACCTTTTGAAGGAAGTGTTCTGTAGAAGCACTTCAGCATCTCAACAGGCGGCTCGTAGAAACCGTGCTTTTAGTGTTTCCATAAGGAACAGGAGCAGTGATCTCAAATCCAAAATTGAGCTCACTGCAGACTCCAAATGAAAACTGATGCCTTCATCTTCTTCTTCTACAAAAAGTGCTGTTCTGTATTTTACATACAACATTTACACACTGAATTCTTAAACTAAAAGCAGTGTTCAGAGTGTATTATTTGTGTGGATTGCTTCAGTTGTGGTTTTATATTGGGTTAAATTATTTTTCAGGTGGGTAAAATTATATGTAAGTGTAGTTATATCAGAAACTTAGGAATGATTCTTGACTCATTTTTCTTCCTCATACCTCACATCCAATCACCAAGTCTTTGAAAATTATCTTCTAGGTATCTTTCTAATCAGTCCACTCTTCCTCCCCTCTGCCAGCACTCTTAAGTCAACATCCTTTGTTTTTTGAACAATTTTCTGCTGTCTTTGCTCTTATATATGCTTGACTCCTTTCCCCCAAGCCTAATCCATTCATCTCACAAATGTAATATGTCTTTTCTGAAATGAAAGTCTCATTTTGAATCCATTAGTGGCTTACCAGCACTTTGAAGATAAAAATCCAAAATCCTTTTAGCAAGGTGTATAGGCCTACCCTATTGAGAAAGATTTTGAATCTTTACGTTTGAAAGATACCTTTACTGGGTATTCATTTCTAGGTTTAAAGATGTGGTTGTGCCATTACCTCCTAGGTTACATTGTTTCTGACAAGAAATTTACAGTCACTCTAGTCTTTGCTCCTCCATATGTCAAGTGTCTTTTTTTTTTTTTTAACTCTGGCTACTTTAAAAATTTTTATCTTTACTATTGAATTTGTGCAATTCAATCATAGTGGACATTGGTATAAATTTTCTCATGTTCTGTGCTTGGGGTTTGTTGAACTTACTGGATCTGTGGGTTTAGAGTCTTCATATTTTATATGTAGTTTTCTATTTCACATACAATTTGGAAAAAATTTTGCTATTTCTTAAAATAATTTTTCTACAGTTTACCCTCACCTACTTCCTTCTGGGACTGAAACTTACATGTGTATGAGACTGCTTCAAGTTCTCAGCTCACTGATGCTCTATACATTTTTCATCTTCTTTTTCTTTGTCTTTAGTTTAGGATGGTTTCTTTTGCTGTGCCTTCAAGTTTGCTTTATTTATTTTTTTTGCACTAATTTGCTATTAATCGCATTCCATGCATTTTTTCATCTCTAGAAGTTTGAGTTTGGTCTTTTTTATGTCTTCCATGTCTCTCTTTAACATGAGTATTCTTTTCTCCACCTTAACATATTTATAAAAGGAATAGTATATAAGGATATTAAAACAGTTATTGGGCCCATTTTCCTCCCATCATTTTGGGTCATTTTACTGCTGTTTTGCATTCCTGGTAATTTTTTATTGGTTGTGAATTTTATACTGTTGGTTTTTGTGTGTGTGTTTGTATTCTTGTTTGTGGTCTTTTAAATATTCTTAAGAGCTTTGTTTTGTAACACTGTAAAGTTACTTGGAAACAGTCTGATTATTTGAAGCCTGCTTTTAAGCTTTGTTAGGTGGGCAAGAACAGCCTTTAGTTTAGGGCTGCTTTTCTCCATTTACTGAAGCAGTATCCTGAGTACTCTAACTGATGCTGTGTTCATTATGAGGTTTTTTCTTTGTCTGCAGTAGCATGAACTATTCCCAGACTTGTGTGAACTTCAGAAATTTTTCTGCCTGCTTCTTGGTGGTTCTTTCCCTGTTCTTGAGTATTTCTTCATATATTGTGCTGATCAATACTCAGCCAAAGACTTGAAAGGAGCCCTCCCTTCTCTGTGCAGCTGCATTCCCTCTGGTACTCCTACCTAGAATATCTAGACCCGCAGTCCTTTCCCAGATTTTCAAATCTGTCTCCTCGACTCAGCAAGACTGCTTGGTTCTTTTTAGGTCCTCCCTTCTTGCACCACAGCCTAGAAACTGCCTCTATGTAAAAACTGTCTCTATGTGATAACCTTGGATCAATCATGGGATTCACCTCGTTTAATTCTATCCTGTGCTGTCTAGTGTCTAACATCTAAAATCCATTTTTTCCTATTTTTAAAATGGTTTTTCAGTTGTTTGAAAGTTGAAGAGCAAAACAGCTCTTCATTACCTTAGTTAATGAGTTTATCCAGTTGCTCAGGCTGAAGGCTCCATATCTAATCTACTACCAAGTCATGGCAGTTCTACTTTTCCACAGCTACTAGGTCAAGCCTGCTTCGTTCTCACCTGGATGACTATGTGACCCACTGGTCTGTTTCCATTCTTGCCTCCTACAGTTGGTTTCCCATAGCCACATGCACGAGCTTCAGAATTTGGAAACTAATATTGTTCCTACTTAAACCTTTCCTGGCTTTCTCTGTGGTGGCCTCCAAGGCCCTTCATTATCAGGCTTGCCTGGCCTTCCAACTTCATCTCCTTTACGTTACAACCTCACTCCTTTATGGCGCCACCACACTGACCTCCTTCTGCTCTTCTATTATTCCAGGTTCTGTCTCATATCAGGCTTGTGCAAGCTTGTTTCATCTGCCTGGAATATACTTTCCTAGGTTCATCTCTGGATGGCTGCTGCTTATCTCTCAGCTGTCAGCTGTCAGTTCCTTAGAGGGTCTTCTCTCATGTCCTTAATTAGTTACCCATTCTCTCCATTATCAGTTCTATCTCCTTGTTAATTATGGCACTTACCACAGTTTTATCATCGTGTTTATGTTTTGACTGGCTCTTGTCTCCTTTCCCACTAGAATGTAAGCCCCTTGAAAGCAGGACTTTTTCTTGTTCCCAGAACATAGAACTGTATCTCACCTAATATAGATGTTCAATAAAAATGTGTTGAATGAAGCATAGACCTCAAGTAACTTACCATTCATGCAGTTATCTATTTGATCCTTGAACAATGCAGGGGTTAGGGGCACCATTCTCCTGTCCTGTCAAACATTCATGTATAACTTTTGATGCTCCAAAAACTTAATAGCTTACAGCTGACTGAGTCTTGCCAGTAACACAATTAACACATACTTTGTATGTTATATGTATTATATACTGTATTCTTAAAGTAAGCTAGGAAAAAGACAAATGTTATTAAGAAAATATTAAAGATAAAGCATATTTCCTATACATTAGGTAGAAGTGGATCATCATAAGGTCTTCATCTTTGTCATTTTCACAGTGAGTAGACAGGAGGAAGAGGAAAGGTTGGTCTTGCTGACTCGGGTGGCAGAGGTGGAAGGGGAAGCACAAGAGGCACTTGGTCTAACTTTACGGAAATATATTGTAATTTGTCTGACTTTTTGCTTTTTTCATTTCTCTAAAAATGTTTCTATATGGTACCCATCCTTCTGTTTGCTTTAGTTTCAGAGTCCATATCATAGAAGAGTCTGTGTTGTAAAAGAAGTCAAAAGCAGCTCTGAATAATTGGAACCCTTCTGCCAGATGTCTTACATCAGCGTGTTCTTTGGCATTGCTTCTAGGTTTTCTTCCTCATCATCTTGCACTGCTTGGGAAGCATTCATCTCCATCAACAAGTCATCTGTTAATTCCTGTGGTGTGGTATTTATTAGCTCTTGAATTTCTCCAGGAGCCATATATTGAAACCCCTCAAACCCCACTTCTTTTTTGCCACATTCACAATCTCACGATTTCCTTCACTGGCTCATGTGTAAATCCTATGAAGTTATGCACAACATCTG